CTTATTTCCCCTCCGTTCATTGTTGTCTGACACATTCTCTCCATTCTACTCCTCCTTTACGCTTCCTGTTATTCATTCTTTGCCTCTCTTTCCTCCCTTTAGCTGGTTTCATGGGAAGATAACTCGGGAGCAGGCTGAGCGGCTCCTCTACCCGCCAGAGACAGGTTTGTTCCTGGTGAGAGAGAGCACCAACTATCCCGGCGATTACACCCTGTGCGTCAGTTGCGAGGGCAAGGTGGAGCACTATCGCATCATCTACCACAATGGCAAGCTCACCATTGATGAAGAGGAGTACTTTGAGAACCTCATGCAGCTGGTGGAGGTAGGGGACTACAGGGAACATAGCTGTCATTTAAGCTACTATTTCTTCTCTACATAATAGCCTTGATACCCATAATACCCTTGGCTTTCAGTGTGACAGCTGAAAAGGATAATTTGTCATCATTATCAGTACCAACTGGTTACTGTGTCTTTAAACTTAAGAACTGTAAGGCACAAAGTGTTTAGCTGAGCCACAGAGAGAGCCTGTGAAGAGGGTTATGTTAAAAAAATGGCTAAACCCTGACACTCTGTGCATAAATGCCACTGTTTTAGTTTTCATTTAGTAGATACCTCCTCTCCCCTGAAAGTCAGTGAGATGTGAGACAGGCTGCTGTATTCTGCCCAGTAAATATGGCTGTTCCACAAAACTGCACTCCATATCAAAGTTTTTTTATGAAGGCTATTGTGAGCTGGAACAATTGGCTAAGTGAGAGAAACGTTTTTCTGCAGAAAAACAATCAACGCCTACATTTATAATTATGTAATTTTTCAAACAAAATGGCAAGTATTTCCTTGTTATATCTTCTCAGTTTTGGTAATTTGCTGCTGTTTTTTGTTTGTAGTAGAAACTCAGTAGTGGCACTATGATTACATAACACAAACACAGTCAATGACCCCAAGCAATTTCCCTAGAAATCAAACTAAAGTGCACATTCACATTCTTCAAAAGGTTGTGAGATCTCACTCCCAGCCTGTTACGTGAGAGTCGGTTTAGAGGAAGGCCATGTGGAGAGGGGAAGACAGGAGACATGATAGCAGAGAGGAGGAGCCTTTCATCCTCTAGATAAAGCAGCTAGAACACTTTTAATTGTACCCCATCTCTTTGCCTTGCGGAGCATTGGAAGCGGATGACAGGAATGTGCCAGCTGGCACTGAGACAGTCTACATCCTCTGTGCATTCTGTCAGCCACCCACAATCTCTCTCTTGTTCACACCCTCCAGGCTTGGTTCTGCCTCCACTTCCTTTCTCCACCTCCCTCCCTCCTCCTTTATGTTTCCTCATGGATACCTGGCATTTTGCTTTTTGTTATCCCTGTCAGTCTCTTTCTTTGCTTCCCCTCCCTATGTTTCTTTCTTTCAGTCTTTCTGTATCTCTGTCTTCTCCTCTGCCTGCACTCCCCAGTGTCTTCTCTCTCCCTGTAATAGACTGAGAAGATTCTTCACATTCCTGTGTTTTTCCGGCTTGCTCGCTGCCCCCTCTGTGTCCTGCTCTTAGCCTGTCCCAGCAGGCTTCACTTACTGTAGACATAGTACAGTATATGCATGAAAACATACTGACAGACCCAGACCCCCTTCCTGTCAATCACTACATCCACAGCAATGTTATGTATGTCAGTGATGCTGGTGAAGTGGCACAAATGTGTCTTCTTATGGTATTTAGAAGGGTGTAACAGCACAGTGAGTGTCAGCTACATTGCCCATTCTGTATTTTTACCCAGTGATTACACCTTTCTCTGGTAATTATATATTGGACAATCTTGAGTTATCTAGTACCAATGTGTACTAAAATACATTTCCATGTATTCAAATACTGCACTTAAGTAATTGTAATGTGTTCAATAAGAAGCACTAATTATGCAATGTTCCCTGAGATGTTATAAAATAGTGGAGATTTCATGACGGCTGACATAGTTGCATCAATGAAGCATGCTGAAGAAAAATCTAAGTCTGTGTTTGCTATAGTACATTTTTGACTTAATTTGTCAGTTTCAGTGCTGAATAATGTTTAATAAGCTGACCTCTCTTTCTCCGTGCTGCCCCCTGGTGGATGTAATGGCAATGTGGTCTCTGTGGTCAATGTCAAGTAATACAAAGTTCCTAGTCATTCAAACTTGACCATCATCATGCTTGCTGTGGCCTTATGATTAGGGCTTACACACTGAATGCTGAGGTTATGCTGGTCTGGTAAAAGTTGCAGGATGTATGGAATTCTGTTTGCTCAGTAAAAAGTCTCAGAAGGCATTAAAATATCTTGCATTTCATTTACAAGAGTATTACTTTTTTTTAAATAAATTTTGCCCATCCCTCAGTTATAGAACAATTATATATGACCACAAAGCAGCAAATCTTTACACTTGTTACTAAGACCAGCAATTTTTCATAATTTTTGCTTGAAAAATGATTATTGATTGGCAAACTGTTTCCAATTTTCTATCAATGGGTTAATCAATTAATCCAGGAAAAAAATTCATTGTGATGCTTTTATAGGTTGCATTATTAAATGTAATGATTTATATCATTGGATATCATTCGGAATTATTGTTTTACACCACTGGGAAGCACTAAAAATAAGAATAAATAATTGTACTCCATATTGTAGAGATGGAGCTGCCAGGCAAGAGGTCAAGAGGAAGGTCAAAGAGGAGATATATGGATGTGCTAAAAGAGGACATGAAATTAATCGGTGTGAGTAGAGGATGCCGAGGATAGAGTTAGGTGGAAACAGATGATTCGCTGTGGCGACCCCTAACGGGAACAGCCGAAAGAAGAAGAAGAAGAAGTCCATATTGTCCCTGTTGCATCACTGGATGTGTCTAGGAGGACAGTAACATGACAACCAAGATGAAAATGTGGAGGAGACACGATAAAGTGGACAAAGGCAGTATATTTATTTACAGTATGTACAGTGATTAACAATACAATAACAAAAGAGGAGGAGAGCAGGACTGAACAGTTGTGCCCAAGCACATTAAATGAATAAAACAAAACCAGGCCTCCAAACACCCTTCTAACCTATCTAGAAAGTGACGAGACAAAACCATACAAGAGTGGGCATAGTGTTTCTAACAAATCAGTTTCTATGTGAAAGAAAATGGTAAAGTGTACCATTACCAGACTAACCTACTCCTGCTCCCTACCTCACCTAGTGTTGTAACTCACAGACTTGTTGGTTAAAAGCGCAGCATCAAAACAAATGTGAGGTAACCATTCACATATTCTCCAGTGTCGGCTCCATTCACACTGCCTCCGATGCCCTGCGGCTAGAGGCTGCTGTGAGGCTGAACATACTGGGCAGATTGTTGTTACAGGCTGCTTATTCTCCAACAACAAATACATTGCCCTGAGCCTGTCACCTAACAGCCCCTACTGGTTTTCCTTAACATTTTTATACATTGGTCAGTATAATGGAGAAACGGGTATTAAATTACATTCTGTGTGGCATTAAAAGGTGCTGTGTCCTGCAGAAACTCTGAATGGAAAGGGGCAACTGCTGGCCACTGAGCTTGTTGCCCTGGTCATCTCTTCTCCAGCGGTGGAATAAATCTCCTATTCCAGCCAGAACAGTAGAAGCAGCGCCTAAACTAGAGTCAAACAACTTGTGTTTTTACAATTGCTAATATGCTGCATATGCATTTTGCTTAAATTCTCTTTTTGTTTTATTCCATCTTTTGTATGGAAATGACACAGGGACTCTGTCTCTAAAGACAGCCAACCTCCTATTTAACACTAATGCATGTTGATAAAGGTGGATACCAACATCACTGATACTCCATATATATCAACTAGAAGGAACTCCTCACATCACCTCTCAGCACAGGCTGGAGCTTCCTTACCTTCCTTTCCTTTTCTACCTTAGTTTGGATCACTGGCAACACCAGCCCCAGTTTCTTTTTACATATCAAAAGCTTGTATTCAGACTCACCAGTCGGAACTTATTTAGGAACAACAGTCCCTGATCAGTCAGCTAGATCCAAGTTGGAAGAGAGTGAAATCTCCTCTCTTTCTTAACAGAGCATTAAAGCATGGATTTTTATTGTTTTTTTCCAACACTTGCTGTACATACCACCTGTTCTCTTTGCTTATTAAAATCCTCCTTCCCTCTGTACCCAGCATTACACCAAAGATGCCGATGGCCTTTGTACCAGGCTGATTAAACCCAAGTTAATGGAAGGAACAGTGGCAGCACAAGACGAGTTCTCCAGGAGTAAGAACACACTGAGCTCATTACACTGCTGTACAGGGACATTATTGAGCTTGTGTGTATATACTGTAATGCTCTCTTCACAAACATGAACTGGGTTCCAGATGTACATACACATACAGTATACAGACAAAGCCTGCTTCTCCTAACTGGCACTGCTGTTGTTCCAGTCCTAATACCATTAATCAACAGAGGGTAATTAATCTTTGTACATCTGGGGGAGGACTGCTGGGCTCCACCAGCTCTCAAGGTCAATCTGAGTCCTCCTGCACCTGTCATTCTTCATTCCTCCTTGTGTACCCATCTGACCCAGTTAGTTCTTACACCAGAAAATACGTGTTGAAATAAATCAAGATTTTCCTCCCAAATAAGAAATCTGTCACTCAGAAACCAGGATTTCCGCTTTGAGTAGAAGCCAGCTGTCATTAAGTATTTCAGCTTATTTGCTGAATAGTTCTTTGATGGCTTTGGTTTTTACTTCCATATTCATAACAATAATGTTGTGTTTCTATAGTTTTTATAAGACATTATTTCCTTGAAAGTCGTACAGTTCATAGACTTCTGGCTTAATCAGCCAGCTGAGTTTGTTTGCTAAATGTCATCTGTCCTGTCTTGGTAGGTGGCTGGGCCTTGAACAGAAAGGAACTCAAACTCATCCAGACCATTGGGAAAGGGGAGTTTGGAGGTGCTTAGATTTTTCACGGATCTCCGCATCATTTTCATTTCATACATTAGAACCATAACATTAGATGCCAAGGTCATCTTGGATACGGTATTAAAACCTTGCCCTGTCTGTGTCCTTGTCAGATGTAATGGTAGGAGACTATAGAGGGACCAAGGTGGCAGTCAAGTGTATCAAAAATGATGCCACAGCACAGGCTTTCATCGCCGAGGCTTCTGTCATGACGTAAGACCCTCCAGCTCTTTCTTTGTCCTTCATATCACATATGACATATGTTTGTGTCTGCATGTATGTGGCACATCGTCCTCTTCCAAATGTATGGCCCTGCTCTCTCACTGTCTATTTTTCCCTTTATTTTTGAAGAAATGTGTCTTTGCTGGTGGGAGTATCACTAATTTCTTTTTGCGTATAGTAATTCAGTTTTTTTCCCCGCTGTTTCTGTGTTTGTACAGGCAACTGAGGCACAACAACCTGGTGCAGTTGCTAGGGGTAATTGTGGAGGAGAGGGGCAGTCTCTACATCGTCACAGAATATATGGCCAAGGTCAGTCACATGAGGTTTTTATTTTTATTTTTTATTTTTTTTACCTGCCTTAAAATGATTAAAAACATTTGGGAATGGCATTGAACATTGCCACAATTGAAGCAAGTAAGTCAGTGTTAGCATTGATAATAACCTAAATATCAACCCAGAATGACCTGTAAATATCAAATGTCATATTTGATTGGCAGATTGCCACAATGTCCTGTTTGTAGCCACCCGAAAGTTAGACTTTGTAAATCATCATCCTGTAAAAACAAAAACATATTTGTAGCACAGGGTGTTCCCATGTAGCTCAGTTAAAAATACACCATGGGTTTTTGGGCTCGGGGATATTCTCTTCACTGGAGCCACCCATAATAAAACTGTGTCCTCCACATATCTTAATAATGTGAATCATCCCACAGGGCAGCCTAGTGGACTACCTACGCTCTCGAGGACGGACTGTGCTCGGTGGAGACTGCTTACTTAAATTCTCACTGTGAGTCCTCTTCATTTCTGTTCAAATATGTCTTAGATTAGTGTAAAAGTTTTTAATCAGTACAGCTCCACGTCTAGAGCTAAACTGCTGCTCTTGTCAAGATTCGAATTGACTTTGAAAAGAACAGTGTCACGTACTTGACTGGCCACAGAAAAGAGCCATTTATTTTCACCAGTAACCATAATGCCTCTTGTTAGCCTTGATAAATGGCTGCTTTACCTGCAAGTCGAGAGCTTTACAGTCTCGAATTATTTATAATGCCTCTGTCATTTGCTGATGCTGTAACCCAGCACAGGTTAAACTGAATAGAGCCATTACATTTAGATTAGTAGGCATGAAATACTTAAACCCACAAGGAAGTATTTCATGCTTCATTTCCGGTGTGACCTATAAAACCCCAGAATGAACTTGGAATACTAAATTTGAAAATGCTTGTCTCCTAAGATACCTCAACCATTTTTCACTGTAGTCATCATTTGGTGTGTCCTGGCGAGAGCAGTTGTAACCACAGCCACGTTTATGTCCGTATAGATTGAGAAATAGGTGTGATGGTCCAACTATCTTAGTCATCCAGTCCTTCTCCATCATCTCTGACAGTGATGTGTGTGAAGCCATGGAATACCTGGAGGCCAACAACTTTGTCCACAGAGATCTGGCAGCTCGTAACGTGCTGGTGTCGGACGACAACATTGCCAAAGTCAGTGACTTCGGCCTCACCAAGGAGGCCTCCTCCATACAGGACACTGCCAAGCTGCCCGTCAAATGGACCTCCCCTGAAGCGCTAAGAGAGAAGGTGAGAAAGAATTGACAGGTGGCAGACCTGAGTAGTGTGTTGTTACTTCATTGACATTTGTTTTCACCTGCTTCATTTTGTTTAACCCGAGAACCAGGGTTGTAAGTTTCATAGCAGGGCAGTTCCTAAGCAGGGATGATATAGTTTTATTTGATGCCAGTGGTAATCTTCAAAAACACTGACATGGATCTGATGTCACAAGAAGGAAAAAATAAACATTATAAAGAATGTTTCATTTTCTTTTGTTAAATCTTTTACTCTTTCTGGAGGTGTTGTGTGAGTGTTACAGACCCACTGAACTGCGCAAACTTGGCTTCAAAAAGTCTGAATCCTTTTGGAAATGAGAGATTTCAGTTTTAGCTTTTAATGAATTTTCAGAAAAATTTAAAAACTTGTTTTTGCCTTGTCATTATGGGTTATTGAGGGTAGGTTGATGCAGAAAAAATGAAATTTTTACTATTTAAAATAAAATCTATAACATGAAGTGTGCACGGTAAACTGATCCAAATACCACAGTCAACACAGAATTGCACATTGCAGAGCTTTACGTCAAAAATCAACAGAGAAAAAAACCAAAACAAATGTGTTCATTGTTGTATGAGGTGGCCGAAAAAGAATTAGAAATGACTTGTACTACTGCCAGCAATGTGTCATCATCGTACTGTGATGGAAATAAGGAAGCGATGGCTTGACATTTAGAGATCTTAGACAAATTAGATGCTAAAAAAACATGCTCCCAAATTTGCTTAGATGAAAGGTGGTCATGGGGATGTGACTCTAATAGAGATGGGTGAAAGAATGTTCCACTGTCAGACAATAGAGGGTTTTCCATCTGACAGCAGCTTACAGCAAGTCCTGAGGCAGCTGTCAGAGTGAGAGACTTGCACTGTATAGTTTATCTTAAAATGTATTTTAAGTTCATTTTTAATTTAGTTGATTTCTCAAATGCTTTCACATTAAGGTGTTTTAACTCTTAAGTCAAACAAGTGTTTTACCCACTCCTGTGGGGAAAGGCAAACTCACCACAGGTCTGAACCACTCGTGGATTTACGCCTTAGAGAGAATTAGTAAGCTATGTGGAGTTGCAAATCAAGATGTCACCTGTTCACACAAATGTCTCTTGCATGACACCCAGTGCATCAGTATGAAAACCTTGACAGTTCAGTTTTTCTTGTTAACCAGTTCAGATGAGAATCCAGACTTTCTGTTTTGTGTAACAGCAGCAGTTTAACTCGGCTCCTCTTTTTCTTTCGCTTCTTTCAAATCTGCATGTGCAAACTCTTTTTCTTCAGCCTCAGCTTATATGGAGTTTGAGCTCACTGAACATTTTTGATTTTTTTTTTATATAGACTCAGGCAAGGGTATTGATGTATTATCAAAATCTGTTTGTTCATACGTCCTTGCTAGAACACCTGCAATAGCACTAAAACAAACAAACCAACACCTGGTTTTGATGGAGAGAGGCTGTGCAAAAACCCGAGCTGTTCTCTGAATGCCTGTGTGAAATGTTGGCTCCTGTTCTTTCTTGTCCTATAGAGGTTTTCCACCAAGTCGGACGTCTGGAGTTATGGAATCCTACTTTGGGAGATCTACTCCTTTGGGCGTGTGCCTTATCCTAGAATTGTAAGTACTAGGTGGATGTTTACCAGCAGATGGCAGGCTTCATTGCTGGGTCCTTATTTTTTTATGGTACAAGATTAGTGAAATGTCTTGTGCCTTGAGTCTTGACCTCAAAATAATTAGATTCATGACATTTAACTGCTGGAGCAGGTGATGAAAATGTGGCACTGTGTTGTAAATTATTAATTTAATTATTCCTGCCTGATTCACCACTTGTTACATTTACATATTAAGTCAGTTGCATCAATGGACTTATCGACCAAAACATTCACACAGAGAATCTCATGTCAGCATCGCTCTGTCTCTGTGTGTGTCAGCCGCTGAAAGAAGTGGTGCCGCGGGTAGAGAAGGGCTACAAGATGGACGCTCCAGACGGCTGCCCACCCGTGGTGTACGACCTGATGAAGCAGTGCTGGACCCTGGACCCTGTGGTGCGGCCCTCCTTCCGCATGCTGAGGGAGAAGCTGCAGCATATCAGAGCCAAGGAGCTCTACCTGTGAAGAGGAAGCGGAGGGTGGGCGGGGTGGGTAGGGTTATGGGGGATGCAGCCCAAGACAGCTGCAAAGTGGGAGGAGGAGAAGGAAAAGAGGAGGGACCACAGCTCCTCTGTACTGCCTGGCCAGCCTGTTGACCTGTGGGACTGCCATACTGGGCCCCCTCCACCTCCCCCGACCTCAGCCATCCACTAGCCGTCCTCTGCTTCCATACAAGGACTGTTTCCTGTTTGTGTTGTATAGCTTTTACCAGACAGTTTCCTTTTCTCTCAATGGGCCTCTGCTCTTTCCTCCTCCTATCCCTGGCTCTGCTCATTCATTCTCTCTCTCTCTCTATCTCTCTGTCTGTCTCTTCTCACTTGGGCCAAGTTTCTCTTCTTCCTCTACCTGGAAGACCCTTTTTCTTTATTTTATTTTCCCTCCCCTCCTCCTCCTCTCCTGAAATGGCATTAACTGGAGGGGTGGCTGGCCTTTTCCTCCACGTTTGTCAGGTGCTCCACCCCATCCCCCTCATCATTCCTGGATCACTGTATCACCTTGTGGTTCTGCATGCCTTTCAGCTCGGCTATCGGTCATTCCATCCTTCCATCGATCCCTCCCTCCCCTCAGCATGGTGTCAGGTGTGGGGCCTTTGCTCTGTGCCTAAGTGCCTCCAGTCTACAGAGCTCCAAACTTCCTTCCAACACTTCTTTCAATTGGACTGTTGTGCTTCAGTTTTTTAAATTATATTTTTAAGAATTTTTTTTTTTTTTTTTTTTTTTACTGCTTTCATTTTGTTTGTTTGTTTTCAGGGAGGTTCTCAAACCATTTTTCAGTGCTGTCTCTATTGTCTCCCCCACCTCCACTATTTCCACATCAGCCGGGATGTTTTACTCTCAAATGTCCACGAAGAGAGCATGAACAGGAAGAGAGAGGATTCAGGAGCTAGTATTGTGTTCGTCCTCCAGCCGAGACAGGCCGGAAGAGTGGTGGGGAGGCAGGACAAATAACAGGAGGAGAAGGGGGAGAGGCAGTTCACAAACATGGTCAATTCATCATCCATGGGCTTGTTTTATATCAAAATATATTTAATGGATTTAAAAAAGAGCAAGGAAAATGCTGACTGTGGCAGAGAATAAAAAAGGAGGACTTTGAGAAGCCAGGAGTCTCTTGGCATGATCTAGGAATGATTAGTGTCTCTGTGAACGCTGGGGTCAGGGTGGTGCATGCTGTGTGTGAGAGGCCTTGGGTTCAACTGTCAGTGCTTTCAATGTTCATTGTTTTATTATGCTGTCATGATTATGAATAAATCATTCCATCTGAGCAGTGTGCAAACTTTCTCATCATTATGTCAATGTGTGTGTGTGAGGGGCAGATCTGAATGCCGTTCCACTAGTGTGGAATATAAAGGTGTTTAAAATAAAACATTACATCATAGTAGGACATTGAGTATTTGGCGATAATGACGTTTCAGATATTTCAGTTGTATGCTTCTGTAATTAATGTTGATAGAACACTAAGCTGGTTCATATTCACGTTTTTTCATTCATCCACATGTGGGAGCTGTCACCAGTTCCACACCTGCGCATCAGGGTGAAGTGCTTGTTTAAGAGCACCTTGATAGTAATAGACAATAAAGAGCAGCAAGGGTTTAGTGTTCATTCTCTCCTGCCAAGATTTCCTGACCAACTCCGGTCTCAAAATTGAGACGATAAGCCAAAAGCTCCATACCCTGCTTTGTAATGTGTAGGAGAACTGGGGTATTTAAGAAATACAGCTGTATATATTTTTAGAATTTAAATATTGAGCTAAATCTGGTCTATATTAGTACCTCTCAAAGTGAGTGTCTGGATTTGTCAAAATAAACGTGAGGGTCTTGAGGTGGCTTGCAGGATGGAAAATCATCTGTTCACTCAGCTCTCATACTATTTTTCTCAACACGGTTTCCTGTCTTGTTCATAAAAGGCACACTGGGTTTCACCCTACCAGTCACATCAAACAACATGAAAAGAGAAAATAGCTCTATTTAGTGCTGCATGAGTATTTTGTGACAAAATGAGCCAATGCTCTTAACAAGTGTTTTGAGTCCCTTTCAATGCCAGATCTCTTCATACATGCAGGCTACAACTATAAATAATCCTCCTGTATCATCTTTGATAGCACAAGTGCTAAGAACAGGTGGTGAAATGTCAATGTTATGTTAGTTGAGCACTTCAGAGCGGTTAACACAGAGCCACCTCTGCCTTTTGGTGAGCATCCACTCACCATAGTGTAGTGATATACAGGCTATAGTGAGGCCAGCAATCCTCTGGTCCTACTGACCATGTGTCTTCCACTTTAACCCATTCAGCTCTCATTTTTTTGACTATGACCAAACCCTGCCCTCCCTGTGTCTTCTGGTGCCAAAGCAAACATTTGTTTGAGCCATAATTTTCTGTGATTCCATTGAATTTTAATGGCAATGACATGCAGTAACAGTGGGCTCGGTTACATAAGCAAGACAGTTTGTGCTCATGGCCAAGTCTGTGCTGCTGTCAGGACCTATCAGTTACTTGTTCAAGGGCACTTTGCTTTTGTTGGACACTAGTCACTGATGAGACAGAAATGTGTGATTCTCTCTTGTATCCACGCCATCTTTTTTTCATTTTCACATCCATAGTGCAGTAAAGAATTATATATTTATTTTAAAGGTAATAAATTACAATAATATATTTAAAGCCAGTGTGAGGTATCACTGTGATGGGAGCTTGTGGTGACAGGAGTGAGAGTTAATGCCCAGCTCTCATGTCTGGATTCCTGTCTTTCATTCACACTTAAGTAATCCTGACAACCACACAGCTCCGTGTTCTTAGCAGGCACAAGCAGGAGGATTGATGTGTTAATCAGCTTTTGATAAGTTATGGATCTGTGCTACTGAAGGCAGCCTGGCAAAACTCGACAAGAACAAATTAGCTCCTGAATTAATTTGATTACACCAACACTATTTTTATGGGCAATTCATAGGACGATGCTGAGGGCTGCATATGTATTTGTGGAGTTGGCATGGGCATTATCCTCCTGTACTGCACATCAAGCTGGACCTGAAAAATTTACATGTGTGAGAGAATGAGGGTGAGGTGAGATGGAGGCGTTTCCGATCTTCTTTATGTGCTGTTGCTGGGTTACATTATGGCAGATTTCTTGAAACCACATGACTCACCAGGAAGACACATTTTTTTTTTTTTTTTTTTTTTTAAATCAGGAAGTCTTTCCAGCAAGTTTTTGCAGCACCCATCTGCTTTATATTCACACAGATGGACTATTTCCATTTGGAAACTAACTGGTAACTTACACTGGAGCATGATAATAGAAGTGAATCATTTTGACTCATCATTTTCCCCAGGTATCTCAAGCTTTTAACAAGTCTGTGTAAGTCCATTAAACCACTGCATGTTTTCACACCCACAGTGTTTACGTCTCTGGATAATAAGATTTTACAGCGTTGTTTTTAAAGAGCAAAACAACAGTAGTTAATAACTGAGGAGTGAATATGTTTTTCCTGGAACCTGAACTAGCCAGATTTATTCTTTTTCTTGCCAAGAATTAGATGAAAAAAGATACCACTCTTGTGTCTGCATGCTAAATACAGTGCCTTGCAAAAGTATTCGGCCCCCTTGAACTTTGTGACCTTTTGCCACATTTCAGGCTTCAAACATAAAGATATAAAACTGTAATTTTTTGTGAGGACAGGGAAGATGGTTCAAATTGATGGGAAGATGGATGGAGCCAAATACAGGACCATTCTGGAAGGAAACCTGATGGAGTCTGCAAAAGACCTGAGACTGGGACGGAGATTTGTCTTCCAACAAGACAATGATCCAAAACATAAAGCAAAATCTACAATGGAATGGTTCACAAATAAACATATCCAGGTGTTAGAATGGCCAAGTCAAAGTCCAGACCTGAATCCAATTGAGAATCTGTGGAAAGAACTGAAAACTGCTGTTCACAAACGCTCTCTATCCAACCTCACTGAGCTCGAGCTGTTTTGCAAGGAGGAATGGGCAAAAATTTCCGTCTCTCGATGTGCAAAACTGATAGAGACATACCCCAAGTGACTTACAGCTGTAATCGCAGCAAAAGGTGGCGCTACAAAGTATTAACTTAAGGGGGCTGAATAATTTTGCATGCCCAATTTTTCAGTTTTTTATTTGTTAAAAAAGTTTGACATATCCAATAAATTTCGTTCCACTTCATGATTGTGTCCCACTTGTTGTTGATTCTTCACAAAAAATTACAGTTTTATATCTTTATGTTTGAAGCCTGAAATGTGGCAAAAGGTCGCAAAGTTCAAGGGGGCCGAATACTTTCGCAAGGCACTGTATTAAGGCAGGTGCTTAGCTTAATATAAAGACTGAACAGTTTGCTTGGCTGATCTTGTTACCTTTGAGCAGAGCCAAGATAGTTGTTTCCCACTGTTTCCTGTCTGTACATTAAACTAAGGAGCTAAACATCAAAAACGTGAGTGGCATTGGTCTTTTCAGCTAAACCCTCAGTGAAAAAGTGAATGTCAAACTATTCCTTTAAAGGCTGGTCAGTGATGCAGCAGATTGCAGAGAAGAAACACTTGATACCCCTGAATTACTGACATTCAGGGCTTTGTTTAAACAGCTCCAGCACTGTCACTGAATGAGTGTGGGAGTTCTCCATTTTCAGCCCCTTTTGGTGACAACGAGCAGGGCGTTGTTGAGCTGACAGGAAATGAAAGAAATTATATTGACATTATCAGGCCAGTTAGCCTATGGTTGGCAGTGTCAGATGTGCACATGGACTTTGTGACAGATCTTTTTTTCATCACTTGTTTACATCACCTGCCTTTTTCTGTACAGGCTCTCCCTTCAGTACTGCTACTGCCTGTGCAATTAGCTGCTATTTAGGAACATTTACACAGACAGGGAGGTTTTAGACATAGGTGCCACTTTTTGGTCCCTGTCTGAGACTTTGTATTCACCCCCTTATGCTGTGTCGCAGCATTTAGTGGTGTTGGTGCTTTTAACAGCCTGAATCACTCCCTGTTGGCCATATGCAACATATGGAGTTCATTTCACTTGCTTGCTCTATTTATTCTGATATACAGTAGCATAAGTTGTGTCTGCTGCATAAATGTTGACATCATTTCACATTTGGAAGTTCTTCTCAGTCACTGTTCGTTCTTTGCTGTTTTGAGTTTCTATTAGTAATATTAAGCACTGCAGTAATGCTTAGTATGACTTGTGGTGCTACTGATGACTCACTGTATTTTTTATGCAGAGAGCATGACCTCATAAACAGAGCTACTCAACAGCATAGTGAAGGTTCACAGACTTCAAGCCTGAAGGGATTGTGATGAGTCTGAAAGCATCATCAGGACATCCTGTACTATGTAAAGCTATTCAGCAATGAGTTCAATGTAAGCATAAGGAAGTCATGCCATATTCTGACATTTTTTGTAAAAAATCATTTGGTACATACTGGCCATGCTGAATTAAACCCTGTACAGGAATGGTTTGTCTTTTTTGCCTAAACAATATTTACATGTTATTATATACAGTGAAACTGTTTGTGGTTGCTGTAATATTTTCTCCTCTCCATATTATCTGTGTTAGTTCCCTTGCAGTTGTAATACATGGGGGATAGGAACACAAAGAGGGACTACTTGCAGCCATGATAAGGGCTCTCTGAGGCTGCACAGCAGTGCTTTAAGCTAAGTGCTAACATCAGCACTAAAACAAGCTCATAACATGCTGATGTTAAAACAGGTAATGTTTATTATGTTCACCATTTTGGTTTAGATTGTTAGGATGCTAATGCTAATGCTGAGGCTGGTATGAAAATGATTTGTTTCATGATGTTGACAAAAATGTCAGTCATATGGTGGTCAAAATAAAAAGTGAGGGGATCATCAAAGTCATCCTCTGTGGACCATGAATGTCTGTACAAAAACATGTGGCATTCCATTGAGTAGCTGTGAAGATATTTCAGTCTACCTGAGTGGTGGGCTGATGGACACAGAGACATGCTTCTTCTTCTAAGGTGATGCAAGAGACAGGAGGTGCAGCTGACTGTGTCACAATCACAGTAGAGGGTGTTATGATATTTTTAAAGTGATTGGCACAAAAAAAGGGTTTTCTGAGGTTCGGGGTTGCTATAGTAACCAGCATAGCAAGGCAAGCTGTACATTATGAGCACCCTTACACAGCGGTCTCCATTTGAACAGTGCATTGTAGTGAGAATATATTTTGGATTAAATAGGTTCAAGGTTGAATCTGCTTCTTAAGACCTGATGATGTGGCTGTGGACTACTG